CGGAAATTCGACAATATTGTCGAATTGCCAGTCGCATTTCGAAAAATTTTGAAATTACACTGGAAAATGGACACTGTCGAAATTCCGTTGGCGAAATTCTTATTGGCGAAATTCCGTCTCACCTTACATATGAGTCTCTCCGATTATTCATCACAATCGAATTCATGACAACCGAGGATGGTGGATATACAGGGTGTGGGTGTGAATATGGGTGTAACATAATAGAAGGGACACCCACACCCTCAAGTCATCAGACATATTTGTAAGTTTCTCGAGAAGTACTCATCGAATTGGGCTGAAACTTTTACAGTAAGTTGAGTACTCCAACATCTATCTGTGATATAAGTATGAGCGCAAACCACCTTAGTGGAGAGAAATAATGGAAAGAATAAAGTGTTCAATTTATTTTGACCAGGGGAATATATTTCGATATTGCTCATATCGCGAAATAAATCTTATTTTTTATTTAGAAGTGAACAATACAGTATATTATGGAAAGTTCTAGACGATCGTCAAGTCGAAAGACATATCATGTTCCATATTGTAACGGGCGAGCATGTCCGAAATGTGGCCAATGTTTGGATTGGTACTATGGTCGTAAACATAGTGATCATGATCGTGTTGTCTGTAAGAGTCATTTGGGTCCTTTGGTTGGCCCTGTTTATGGATGGCAACGTCGTAAGGATGCCACTTGTGGCTATCGATCATATCCTCATTATGTGTACTATACGGCTCCATTTGGTCCATGCAAACTGAGTATCCATCAACATAAACATCTAGTCAATGTTGATCGTGGCGGGATTGACAATCCTGAGCGTTCTGTTCGTAGGTGTTGGAGTTCACATGTAGCTATTCACGGTCGTTATTTGTGTCATTGTCAAAGGAAAGATTGAATATAATAACTTAATATATTTAAAAACTATGTTGACTGATTTTTGCTGGTTTTATTTGACCAAGTGATGTATAAAAATATTAAAAAATTTATTTGAAAAATTTGATGGGCCTGAGATGTGTCAATCAGACACAAGAGCTACTAAGAAAATCTTCATTCGAGAAAGGTTTTAATTACAGAATATACAGTACTGGTCAAAAGTATCTCCCCACCCCCTTGAATTTTAGCTTTTATAAAAGCTGTAGACCTGAAAACTTGTATATGTCGTATCGAAGTTAGCATGTTTATCGAAGCTACAACTTCGATGCTTCCTCTTATCGAAGTTTAACTTCGATAGAATTTTTTATAGAAGTTACTACTTCGATGACACTGGTTATCGAAGTTACAACTTCGATGATATTTGTTATCGAAGTTATTTTGATTTACTCAAACCGTACGTAGATGATGATCCAAATAAAATCATCAAAAAATTATTTAAGATTTGTCTTTCAAAGAAACAAAAGACATATTTGAATCAAAAAAAAAGAACATCATGGTACAACTCATGTACGAAAAAAATTGAAGGGATATACAAAAAAAATGAGTACAGTTTGAAATGATTATATTATTTATTACAGCAAGTTGCAGAGTAATGACATCGTGAATTACACATTAAATTTGCTTGTTTACACTTGCATTTATTTGTTTTACAACCACCTTTGCAATTGCATTTTAACATTCCTTGTCCACCAGTAATACTTTGAAGTCTAGCTATTTCTCTTAATGTTTTTGGTTCATCTTCGATATCTTGAATTAATAATGTTGGAACACCTGGAGCTTTAGATATTTGATGATAACTATAATAACCTTGTAAAACACCATTTTGTGTACCCAACTTATATTTATCATATTTTATCTCCATTATAACACCTAATATGTTGCATGCATCTGTTGGACCACGATCAACATCTGGCATTGATATTAACTAAATGAAAATGTCCGAATGTTAAAATAAATAAAGCTTATCACAAACAATACTTACAACATTATCGCCTATGCCCATGTTTGTTAATTTTTGTTTCTTAAGCGTATTTTGTAAAAATTCAGCAGCTTGGTGCTTTTGCCCCTCTCTGGCACTTCGACGATTTATATTTAATCGTTCAAACCGATCATCAAATGAACTTATAGCATGTTCATTGTCATTATCTAAATGTTGATCATCTTGTTCATTACATATAATTTCTTCATGTCCATTTTCAAAGAGTTCTTCTACTCCATGATTATATTCAACTTCATCAATTGTATTTGTATCAACTGCTTGTAAGCCTAATTTATTTTGTAATTCTTCTTCTGTTGTTATACTATCGAATATTGATGGGTGTAATGAAGTTGATGCTAAACCAATTTTTGCTTCTTGACCAAATAAAACAGAATATGGACTGTGTTTTATGACACGATGATAACATGAGTTCTTCTGAAATTGTACAAATCGTAGACCATGCGACCATTTTTTAGAGTCATTTTCACGAATCCATGTTGTTAAAATCAAGAAAAACATTAAATGACAGTTCCCCTCCTTATTGCAAACATACCCAGTAATTGTTTTGTATCTTGATTAGAACGCTCTACCGAACCTTGTGATTGCGGATGGCGTGGCCTTCCATGTACGATCCGAAGTCCTGTCCACATTTCTGCTAATTCATTAATAACTTTGGCCACAAATTCTCGGCCGTTATCTGATTGTAAAATAGCCGGAGCGCCGAACGTTGTAAAAATATCTAATAGGTGGTAAGCAACCTCTGCTGCTGTTTTTGTTTTTAATGATCTTAAAATGCAAAATTTCGTAAAATGATCTTGATAATTTAATATAAATTTGAATGGACCATCAGGACAGGATTGCATGTCTATCAAATCAACCTGACCTCGTGCATTAAAATCGTTCGATATTACAGGCTGCACCACTAATTTCGACGAATTTTTAGGTTTGCTTTTTTTTATTTTGCATTCATAGCAACCGGAAATGAATAATACCACTTGTTTTTCAGTAACATTTGCATATATTTTCTTTATTTCTTTTACTGTATTATTAATACCACGATGGCCAATCGTAGTATGAACAGTTTGTATTATATCAAATAGTTCATCAAATAAAACATAATATTTAACTGTACCAGCTTCTGATAAGTTAATCTTTTTTACTAATTTCTGGTGAATACCAGAATTGATAACGTCATATGTTTTTAATAGAGATATTTCTTGTTCATTTCTATCACTATAACGTTTCAATTTTGCACTGTTTATTAACTCAACTGTTTCATTATAGCGATCTGTCGTAAATAATGGGTTATTCAATGAATCATTTTTGTATGCCAATATTCCTGTGTTAAATTCGTTTTTCCATCTAGCACCATCAATAGCTTTAGTTGTTGTTGAAGGAGTACTTGGAGTTGCTGTATTATCTACTGTTGTTGAAGATAATGCAGTAGTACTTTTAGTAGGTTTAGGTTTTCTTATCGTTGAGGGAGACGATAAAGTCGAAATCATTTTTTTTTATTTGTAATGTTTATGATAGTGATAAGTGTAGAGCAATTATTTATTTAAAATTATAAAGTACAAGTGAATTTTCTTAAGTGAGTTCGTACATCTGCATTATTATTGAAATTAATCTAGTCATTATAATCCAATTATTAGAATTTCATATTCAAATGTTGTCTCAATATTTTAATCAGCTTATAGACTTAAATTGTACAAGAGTATTATACACTTTGGAAGCAACCATATCCTTCATGTTGATCGACATCTGATAGATAAATTTCTAATTTTAGCATTCCAATGTTAAAAGTAACGAAAGATTAAAAAAACAATGAAGATAATTTTCCTTGTCAATCTTTTTTTCGTACATGAGTTGTACAATGATGTTCTTTTTTTTTTATTCAAATATATGTCTTTTCTTTCTTTGAAAGACAAATCTTAAATAATTTTTTGATGATTTTATTTGGATCATCATCTATGTACGGTTTGAGTAAATCAAAATAACTTCGATACGACATATATATATAGAAGAATAAGAAGAGAGAACTCACTCGAAAGTGTCAGATGTTGAGGAAAGAATTCTGCCGACAACACTAGAGATCATATATAATCGGTACAACAGAAGAGAGAGAAACAATAAATGTACCTGAATATAGTACGTGACGACGTGTGTGAGTATTCACGTATAACATCAGAACGAAAGGAAATAAAGATGAAATCCACGTATGTTATCGTGTCATCACCAGAACTAACTGAAGGAAAGTAAGAGAAAATGTACAAGCTACATCACTAACTGAGAATCATTATATTGTCTTGTCTTAACCATATTTACTTAGTAATAATTCTTTTTACTAATTTAATTTGTTTTCTTAAATTGAGAATTGAATATCAAAAAAGTTTATTAAACATCCAACTTATTTCTTGAGCTAATACAAATTTTACTTAGCAAAAAATTTTTCTCACTATTTATTTCATTTATAAGTTCATATCAAATTGATTAGATTATTTAGGTGCGTAGCTCATTAAACGTCAAATCGCTTTTCGATCGAGACAATGTTTATTTGATGAGTACTGGTGACTAATAGAGAAGTCTAAAATAGTTTGGTTTTACAAACCTTTGTTCTCGAAATATCGAAGTTCTACTGAGTTTTTCAACAAAAAGCTGGGGTCGTCCCTCTCAGGTCGTATAAAAAATCGACTTCCAAGTCTCAACTTCAAAATTTACACAGGCACGGTACTTGATGAGATTAGTACATCGTGCAAGTTGTTTTATTCACACTTTAAAGTTAAAACTCGAAAGTCGATTTTCCACGTGACATAAAAAGGACAACAGCTTGTTGTTGAAAAACCCAGGAAATCTGTCATATCACAAAAACAAAGGCCGATAAAACGAAACCATTCGAGACTTCTAGCGCTCATCAAATGAACATCGTCTCGGCCAATAAGCGATTTATCGCTGAAAAAGGTTCCTTCGTTAGATGAATTTAAAAAAAGAGGTTTATATTTTAGTACTCAGTATCTTATAGTCATTGCTCAGCATCCTTTTTGTTACATGTTTGGTAGTTTTTTCACAGTAAATAATTTGAAAGGTTCAGTAATTAATTTTATTTTTGTTCATTTTTTTCTTTATTTATATCAGTAAAAATAGTATAATTACAATTAGCAGAAGTTTATTGCATCACTGGTGGTCTTTTTTTATTTACCCTCCTCCGTCTGTCTACAGAATAGTAGTCCTTCGGACTTTTAATTTGTTTCGCAAGTCAAAAGTTTAAAGGTGGGCTTTTATTGCAATCAAACTTGTTTGTGCAGTAGACATGACGAGATTTGCTTAAAAGCACAAAAGTACACAAGATTCGAGAAATTGCAGCTTTTAAACTGTCTAAGAGTTTGACACAAGCTATGATAGTTACTAACGAACCAAAAATTGATTTCTATACTTTTTCAGTTCCTTGTTATCAGATAATCTGAGTGATGCACTTATTACACTACTTTTCTTATGCACACGTTCATCTGTCATTAGCACTTCGTGGGTTTTAATATAGGTAGGTGAAATCGTGCTTATCACGATAGTTTGGCTTTTAAAACTATCAAGCCTTGAAGAAACTGAAAAAAAAAGCCTATAAGACATTTACTGAAATGGCTTTGCCAAGTATCGTTATCTTAGAAGCTTATGCATAGTTCAGAAACATGCAGAGACATACTTCAATTATGTTGAAAGAAGTATTAAGTAAATCTTCTAATAATGGTTTTATCATTTTTATGAAATAGGTTGTTCATATCTTATGAGTGTGTCAATAATGGATATCGTACTCATTTCATACTTGCAGTTGTATTTGAATCCGAAAATCTCTCGCATAATTTTAACTAACCATTGTTAGCTTTGTGAGATGTTCCATTTTTCAGTTAAAAGCTTGTCCATATTTCTATCTTCTTAAATAAAAATTTACATCGTTTCATTTTCAGACTCTATATAATCCTATAACAGAAAGAAGCTGAACAATATGGTATTAAATCATGTCTATTTCCTCCTATTTGTCAGGTTCGGAATAGTTATCTTTTGCTAATGTCCATACAAACATATCTTTGGGCTTATCAAAGAAAGTCGTTTGTTGGTTAATGGAAAACATGTAGAACAAGTGAAATTAGATACATAAAAAAAGTTACTAGTCAACACGATAAAGCAATCAAGTAATCTATTCAATAATTTACATTGCTATTTTTTGCTTGTTCGGATAGAGTGGGCTTCTATTATATTCGGGAGATTGTACGTTTGAGACTGGCCTTCTATTCTGTAGGAAGGGGAAAGTTTACTGCCTCGTCAACTTCTTTAACATTGTGGAAAACCATTTCTTTTCACTAATGTTGTTGTTTCTTTTTCATTCTCTTCTTTTTTCCATTATTTATAGTTTCATTTGTATTTATCTTCTCATCAAAAACATAGACTGGTACTTCAACGATTTTCATTGCCATTGCCATTTTTAAACCAAATTAGACATAATATTATTAGCTGATGATTGGTCTAGCATACCAATTCGAAGTCATGCCTTTTACTTTCCAGACGACAACAATATATATATAGACGAATTGAAAAAAAGCCAATGACACTTTGAGGAAACATGATGAGAGGAAAAAAGATCTAAGCTATATCAAGAGAGAGAATGTTTAGAAAATACCTTGAAGCAAAGCAAAGTCACGAAGAAAAGATATATTTGTATATATTCTAGTCTACACAATTCGTTTGACTAATGATGCTATCATCAGTGAAGATGAAGAACTATTTTGGTATTTACGTCAAAATATTTTCATCATAAAAAGAAATAAAAATGACTAATAATCCAAGTACTATTCATTTAATGAGTAAACAAAGTTTTATATGAGCAAAATGAATTAGTTACTGATATTTAAAATTTTAATATTGAACGAAATATTAATTTACTAAGAAAACATAATAGTAACCAAATATTAAACTTAATACTGATAATTTCGATTTGTTGATAATTCGTATATAATCCTGAGCAAATTATACTGGACATTCACAAACACAAATACGAAGCATTTAATTTGTTCTCATATGAAGAATAAACATTAATCAATCTGAAAATCTCCACAACTATTAATAACGAAATCATTCAAATTTTAAATTCTAAAACCTATAAAAAAAATCTCGAATTATTTAACAATTGATGATATTTATATGAAAATTTTTAAGTGTAAAATTTATTATTAACAACTAATATATTGCATGCAAATACAAAATATTTCATTTCTTGTTGCTGATTAAAAAAAAACAAGCATTGAATAGAATTCTTTCCATTGTTTTCGTTTGTTCACTTTCAACGATCGTTCAATGTTTATTTTTTTAAACTGTTTTGATCATTTTTATAGTCTTTCAATTTCCTTATTACATTCGTGAGACAAAAAAAACAAACATAGAAGAAATAATTTCATCCAAATCGTAAAAAGTCACCTTTTCGACTAAAACGAAAAAAACTGCTTGGGTATGGTTGTTGACCTCGTCGACCGAAACGAAGAAATGTTCCTGCATTATGACCACCACGGCCAAGACGTGAAAATGAAGGACTTGAACGACCAAAACGCAGAAATGATCCTGATGATGGTGATATTTGTCTACCAAATCTTAGAAATGATGTCGCACGACGAACATAATCATTTTCTTCATCACTTTCACTACTGCTTGTAGACGCATCATCATTATCAAGTATTGGTTTTGATTGCCGAACAAGATTTAATTGATCATATGAACTAACATCATTTGAATCTATGGATTAACAAAATAAATAAATCTATATATCATAATATCAAAATAAAAACACAATATATCAATACGTACTACTTGATGCTATTGTTATCAATTGTATGCAAATAAGTGCTGATAGAATGGTAAACAGATACATAATAAATCAATCGATGATGAGAAAATGATATCTAAATAAAATAGACAAAAGAAAAAAAAGACCATTCCTCATTGCTTTTGCTATGGATATATCTATATCTACATATATATAGTTTTCAGAAGAAGAAAAAAAAGAATTTTTAGTCAAGTGAAATAAATTTTTTTCTTTGACTTATTCGAATAGAAACAAAGTACAGCACTTTAATTAGAGGCTTTTACATAGACAATATTCATCTAGTACGCAAATTTTTGAGTAGGTAGATACTGTGAGAAAAAACAATACAAAAAAATGAGAAATTAGTGTGTAATGTAGGCACAATAAAAGTAGTAATCACTATAACATCTTTCCATTGAATAAACATACTTGACTATTATCAACAATCGTTTATTAAGGGTCTATGCACTTTGTAAGCAATTTGAGTAATGCTTTCTTTCCTTCCTTCTCAATTCTGCTACCTGCCAATCTCGTTGAAGACAAAAATAAATTATGCTTAATTCTCTTGATAATTTTCACGTTCACTTTTTCTCATACAAAACGCATACATTTTTTCGAAAGATTAAATATCGTAATGCAACATATATATAAATAGTTTTATCTCGACTGATATGTTACAAAAGGTTCTATGCCAAAAATAAATATGAAAACATATGCATGAGTGTATCTCAATAGAATCAATCTTAAAAGAGTTTCTTATTTATAAAAAGTCCTCATAATATTTCAGCATATGATTATAACTTTCCGGTTATAAAAAATAGTCATTTTCATAAATAGACTATCTTCCTAAATTATGCTTCAATTATCTATATTTAAATGAAAAAAAATTAATCAAAAAAAAAAGAGGTTAAGTACTTTTTCTTGTCTGTTCACTTTTACACTCATACAAACATCATGTTCAACGTATGATCCATTTTGTTAGGTCGCTCACAAAATTCTTTTCTAGCCTCACAAATATAGAATAAAATTATATTTACTTATTGCTTTAAAAACAAAAGTATTCGTTCCTTTTATATCAACTATTTGATCTCTCATTGAACACTCCAGGATAATAAAAGATCTTTTTCCTTGGTCTTCTGTTTTTTATCTTATTCTATATATATATATATATACTCATTACCTGACAATAATGATGGTTCTAATTTTCTAACTCACTATCTGGACTATGTCTTTTTTTCATTCATAAGTATTAAAAAAACAAGAAAGAAAATGATGCATTCGGAAACGTAATAATTCATTCTTTGTTATCCTATAGTAGCAACTTACTTTCTTCCTACAAATACTAATACCAAAATTATGTCTGTATGCACGTAGTATACGTGAAAGAAAAGGAAACGAAGAAGGCGTGCTTCCCAAGTATGATAATGGGATGTTGAAATATTGCATACTTGGAATGTGTTGAGCGATAGTAACTATCTTAGCTTATGATATTTATTCATAAAAGAGAGAGATAAAAAAAAATATAAATCAAACAAAGTCAAGGTGCAAATGTAAGATTTGGTAATCCAAAAATAACAGTATTCAATTGTTGAAGTTGCAAGGCTGGTCGTTGTCTTTCTTCGATGGGTTCTTTTGTTGATGGTAGTTCGGAAATAATCTCAGTTGGAGGAGCTAATGATAACTTTTTTTTATTACTCGGATCCATTTTAGCTGCTGATTGTGGTTGTTGTTCTTTGTTTTTAGGCGATGGTGAACGAGCTTTTTTATTAACAGTAGTATTTCCTTTAGTTTTTGTGTCTTTTGATGTTGTTGTAGCTGCTGTTGGATCGATTTCTATTGGACGAAAATATGGATATACATACAAACGTAATGCTTGACTTAATGAACAACGAAGTGTTGCGATATCTAAAATAAATTTTATTATGTAATTATAATTATCAAACGTAAAATAAAACAAAAGATTATTACCAGTAAAAACATTGATTAATAAACTTTCATTTTCATTCATTGTTGATTTCCATTGATTAAGTAATATTGATTTAATACCACCTGAACTCCATAAAAGTGCTGTTTCAGTTGCATGATCAAGTTCAATTGAATTTCTATCATCCAACGATCTGAAATTTTTATATATCATAATTATTAATATATGAAATTTTTCAAAATACACTTACGACATAGGTGTACTAATTGTACTAGTTGATGTTCGATCAAATGAACATAATATTGTACAACCTAATTCAAAATAAATAAAAAAAATTTATTATGTAGAATTTGAATTTTTACCATTTTTAGATAACGTTGGACATTTATATGGTCCGATTAATTCACTCAATGTATGTGCACCATAATAAACAATACCTTGAGCTTCACTTATTATGCGTTCAAGTTCAACAGTACTAGAGAAAAAATTTATACATTAAAATCTTTCTATTAAATTAGAAACAAAAATAGGATAAGACGAGGTGAGATAAATATAAGGATAATAAAGAAGTACCACGGGGATAAATAATAATAAATAGAAGGGCATATATTGTCTATTTAAACTTACGAAAACTGTTGAAGAGACAGAGCTATATTCTTTTGTGACCTGAAAATAGCTAAATTTATTTATCTATATCTATGAGAATAAATTAATCGAAGATCATCTGTTATCCTTAGAAGATTTCGATAAAAATACAAACAAAAAGAAAACAAATTATTTATTCAAAACTTCAATTCTTACTTTATTGTTGATCCTTCTTGTTTAATTGTTTTCCATTTAGCAATAAGTTGAGGAAATCGTTGTCGAAGTAAATCAAATGGTGTAGGTACTTTATTTTCTATAAATTAAAAAATTCTTAAAAAAATTCTTTTATTTTTCTTATTCAATTTTACCAATTGATGATTTAACTAAAACTGGTTCCATTAAATAATAAGTATTTACTGCATCCACGACTTGTAAATCACTTGTAGCTTCACCGCCCTTATAATATAATATTTTTCCATGTCAAAAATAATAATCCAATTTAAATACTTACTTCTTTTGCACCACCTTTTTTGCTTTTGTTTTCTACAACAACAAAAAAAAAATTATGAATGAAATATAATCAAGATATTGATTTTGTTTTAAATATTCAAACAAACAGTTCAATGAGTTCGACAGTGATAGAGTATATTTCATAGGCAAGGAAATAAAATATCAAAATAATTTAAAAGTCACATAGATTTTATTAATTTTGAAGAAACGCCCGAAGACATGAAATTTCCGTCACATGGCAGACTTACTTTTTTAGTTTTATAATTCATTGTAGTGCATTTTAATAAATTTATGAAATATATAGAACAAAAAATACACTTTTCATTTTTTCGAAGTATCTTTTTGTTATATGAACATACAAGAAGAGTTTATTTCAGCAGAAAAAAAATTAAATAAAACTTTTGAAAATTAAAAGAAATAAGAAAACTTTGATTTATGGAAATTCATAAAAAGTTCATTTGATGCTAAAATGTGGAATTCATATGTGTTCTTTAGTATTATTATACTAATATAAAATACGTAAGGTAAGTAATCTCAAATAGACTATACTTATTTTCCAAGGATGATAGTTCGTCCATTTCCAGATAAAAAATTCTAAATTTCGAACAAATATTTTTTTTACTGCCGCTCTTTTTTTTTTGTTTGTCTTGTTATTATTCATCCCTTACTTTTACTTTCTTTAATTGTATCCTTATTCTAATCATTGATTAAACTGACATATATACCTTTTGTACATATGCCTTATATCCACTATAGATCTTAACTTCTTATTATGTGTCTTGATAAACTTACAAACATTGATATTGATTATTCCGCAAAGCTATAATTTGATCAATTCGTGTTTTTTATGTTGACTATACGATCATTGTCGCAAATCAATACAACACTAACTATGACGCTTGACATCTCGAATGTAACTTTTTTTTTTCTCGGTGCGAAAATAAGACATTCACAAAAACATTACATACGTTAAAATTTCACGAAAGATTAGCGTGCTCTAGAACAGCCTAACCTTTGTTGTTAATGCCACGTAATGGTCTTACTTCCTTGGTAAGGAAGTATTGAAAAGGAGTATGGTGTCCTCGGTTGCTACAAAGAACGTACTCATTGATCTATGAACACTTCCTTGTTAGTCAGGCCTAAAATAGAATAGGGAGAAGCAGGAAAACTCTGGCTTACAACTTCTACTCCCTATTTTCCTTTGAAAAATATATGTGAATTCTAGAAAAATCAATAAAAGTTCAAATTTCTGTGCATTTTTTGTTTTACATTAATCATTTGTTACTTCTTTTCGATGTTTTTTTTGTATATATGAATTTGATATCGTACCGTCAGTTGGTATTGTACTTTCATCAAGAGAAATATTTGCATTGAGACGATAATAAATCGATTGAATAGAAAAATCACGTGAAATACCACCAATTTGAACATGTTTAAATATATTCAATGATTCAAGTGGTAAATTTGCAAGACGTGGATCAACAAGAAGAATAAGATGATCTGAACTAAGTGATGTTCGAAGTTCATACTGTTTTTCAGATCTAAATTTTGAATAAAAAAAAAAACGAAGAAGAAATTATTCTTATTGAAAATACGAATCTATTTCGTTTTGTTTTCTTACTCAAGATAATTTGAAAGTAATGAATTAACAGGTAAAAAATATTCATTTAATTCAACAATAAATTCATCCATAAAACGTTGTTTAAATTCATTTATTAAACTAATATCAACTGGATCAGACTAACAACAAAAAACAATGGATATCATTATAATAGAAAAAATATTGTTTTGTGTATTGAAAACAAAATAATTTATATATGAAACAAGTGCAAATAATGATATGAGGAGATCGACAAGAGACAAAAGAAGACAAACAATGATTCAATAGTTTGAAATTGAATTTTTTTCTTTTTTTTTTTTTATCAATAAACAATTTATTCACAATGTGATTATTGCAATAACCTGTAAAATATTTAATTTAATATTGCTGAATAATAAAGTTTTTTTAACCTAAAATTAAATTTTTTGATTAAAATGTTTCTTCATTTTTTCTTTTTTAAACTGATTAAGAACGGTTGAGGAAACTATGTAAAACATCCGAGTAGATTGAGAATTTTGTGCTATTTCTGAATCTAGGTTCAGAGTTTTTTTTTTTTCTTGAGGACTCGTAAGTTAGAAGACATAAGCGCATCTTTCAAAGACACGAAAAATGTACCATCAGCTGATTTTGAGGTAGACAATTCAATAATTTCATGCTGTTTTTCAGTGATTTTTCTCGTTATTTTCTTTTGTTTTTTGTCATAGAGTTGCCTATTTCGCGTAAATCCATTTCTTTTAACTTGACTGTATCACATTTTGAATATTTTTATTGATCTATTTGTTATATATATTTTACTCGAGTTCTGGACGTTTTATCATGCATTTAAACTTGTCTTTAAAATGTTCTCGCATACAGTTTCCAATCTATGAGTCATAAAAAGTTTTTGTATCTTATTTTGTAATGATTTCAAAATTCCTGCTGAGTCGTTTAATTAGATGAAAAATGAAGAAAAATTTTGTTTAAAAAGTTTTTGCCGATCTGTTATTGATGTCGAAAAAGAAATATTTTAATGTAAAAATAAAATTGAACTAACTTGTTCAGAATTAAGCATAACTTGTTTATTTCGACTATATTGAAGTTTAATATCATATCGTTGTAAAATTTCAGAATATTCTTGTTTCCATTGATTATATTTATTGATTAAATTATTTAATTTGTTTTTATCAACATTTATTTTCATTATTTGAGGACTTACATATCCACTTGTTGAAGCTAAATTATTAAAAAAAAAAAAAATTATTTTATTATTTTTCTTTGAATAATTTTCTCTAAGATTTTAAATAATATCAAACCGATCGATTTTGGATTCGTTTGTTTAGTAGCTGCTGTTGATATTGTTGCTTTTCCACTTGACATTTTACTATTGAACAAAGCTGTATAAAGTATATCACTAAATTTTGTTATAAGAATTAAATCATTTAATTTTATTAGAATAAAAAAAAAAACAAACCTATTAGATGAATAATGTAAAATAAGAAAATTGAATGAAGCTGGCATATCTTTTATTAAATCATAATATTGTGGTCGAATTGTCATGTATTTCCATGGCTATAATTATCAAGAGATGTCTTAATGAAGAAAAAATCACTTCAAACATGTGAATGTTCATTCTAGTCAGTTTAGTGAGTTCAAAGTACTCGTTTGTAAGAGCAGTCTTTAATAGAGTATCTGAAAAAGTATTCTGCTGAGAATTGTTTAACGTTGATCTATTCAGTTAGATCGAATCATATACTTAATATGAAATAAAAACAAGAAGTGACTGCCTTCTAGTAGAAGAGAAGACAGAAACAAAAATTGTATATATGCCCATCTTATGCTCAAAGTAAAACCTAATTAAGTTTAGTTTTCTATTTAAATAATTATATATTTATGCCGATAAGTAAAACAAGTTTCATACATTCGTCTTAAAAAATTTTTGTAGATAAAATCTTGAAAATGACTTTTAGTTACAGAATACTTAATTGAATCTCTGTGTATTATAGTAAAGAATTCTAGTTATGGGTTTTATTGAAATGTCTAAAGCTTCCTGTATGATAAAAGTTATATTTCGAATATAGTAATGAAAAGAGTTTAAATGCAATTTGAAAAGGTGGGGAACTAGTTTGAAAGGTACAAAAGGATAATTATATCTAATCGCATTGTTCGACTATAATTTCAGTGACTGAAATAATTACTCAGATGTGTATATAAAAATCTTAAAGCTTCTAATTATTCCTAAATATCAATATCAAAATATAAATGATAAGATCAAAAAATCTAGAATTGTACTAAAAATGAAAACTATCAATATTTATTATTCTTTCTAAAAGAAAAATATTCAAAATTAAGTATTATTATTATATACCCAATAGGTTTTTAATCGATCCATCATTGTTCGATATATAATACTATTATTTGCATTTGTAATTGTTTCATCTTGTTTTATTCGATTAATTAATATAAATAATGAAGCAAGTTCTGAATCACTTGGAATATGACATGCACGTTTCAAAATAGTTTCTGTATAAATTGAAGCACTTGCATTCTATATAGAAGATGGACCAAAAAAATAAATAAATAAATATTAAATAAAAATTTCATTTATACTTGACTCAATATTAAATAAGTAATACTTGATATTGGATCAAATTGACCAATTGTTTCACAAAGTAATAAACTACAATCACGAATAAGTATTTTATCTTGAATAGATAAAGCTATATTCAATGATTGTAATGCTAATTCCATTGATTGACCAAGATATGACATTGATTGATTTAATTCCATCTATAAAAGTTAGAAAAAAGAAACAATATATAAATAAATAACAATTTTATTTGCCATTAACCTTTTGTCGAGTAGATTCAGCTAATAAATCATCTGTTATTGATTCACTATCAAAAGAAATTGCTGTTTGATTAAAATTAGAACTACTTTGTGATCCCATTCGTTTAAATCCTGATTTGTCTATTGGCATTTCATTTAATTTTGTGAAAATATTCTAAAAAAAGAAGTTGTTTGATTTTTTAGTTTCTTAATTATTCAAATCAAAAGAAAAAAAAAAACACCAACTTTAATTCTCATATTCCATTCAAGTGGATAATCGGTACCGAAATTTTGACCAAGAATTGAATAAACTTGAGCCAAATAAAATAAGATCTATACAGAAGAAAAAAAAAATATTTGATTTCAATCATAAAACTAACCTTTGCTTTTGTTGTTTTATCAGTTGTACCAATTATTTCAAGAACAGCCATTATTGAAGTTATTAATTTATCTGGTAAAACTCTAAATAATATTTGATTAAGTAATTGTTTTGATTTAACAAGGAAATTCTCATGAAATAATAAATTTCTTTTGAGTCAAGACTAGGCATGCGCCGAGTCCGAACTTTCCGGGTTCGGCAATTCCCGAGTTCGGTCATTCCCGGGCTCGGTGTTCCCGGTGTTCGGTCATTCCCGGTACCTAAAACATTAGATTTAGTGATTCATGTACTTTGGTCTGCATTAGGCATCCTTAGAAGCCAGATATGACCGAACCCGGGAATGACCGAACTCCGGGTATACCGAACCCGGGAAAGACCGAACCCCGGGAATACCGAGCCCGGGATTCCAGGTCTGTACCCAGGTTCGGTGCATGCCTAGTCAAGACTATGTAGACCCAAACAACCTATGAATATCCTAAGAAGAGTTCGTGACCTTAGCTTATTATTAATAAAACTAGGCAGTAGAAGTACATCAAAAGAAAGACTTTCACGATTGGCTATAATAATTAGGTCTACAGACAATGAAATAAACGATGCAAAAATTGAAAGATAGCCGACTTTCTAAAACGAAAGTAATTGATGTTCGGAAGTATCTAAATCCGAATCTGAACTTAAGGATGCTTTAAGAACTGCTTGAGCAACTACCTAAATACTCGGCATAACTTGAACTCGTTGGGCAGTGTCCGAATCATACGGTCTGTGTTGCGTAGACACTACATTTTTATGATATTTCTTTTAATAAATATCGTGATCCTACTCGGGAAAATTGATTTTCGAATTTCAACTTCAATATTTTTACAGGGACAGACTTTAACATGAGTAGTTTATTGTGGATTTATCAAGTCTTTTAATTTGCTCCTATCATTGAAATAAAAACATCGAATTTGTCAGTGTATATGAGCGATACAAACGTAACGTCTTGAGTTTAGATGTATCTTAGGATAGAAACAAAGAAAAGATCTGAAACTTTCAAAAAATAAATATCATAAAAGTGCAGCCTCTCAACAAAAATAAACTAAGAACACCAACTCTTTTTAGGATATTCATAGTTCATTTGACTCTACATAGTCTCGACTGAAAAAGAAAATTTATCAGATGCAAGAATTTCTCCTTGTATGATTTTCTTCATTCAAATGAAAAACAAAAGAATAGTTAAAATTATTTTAAATTACTTTATCATTTCCTCCCATTTGATGATATTTGTATCTTCATCATTATTTTCTTCTTTTTGTTCATCTTCACCAACAAAATATTGTACAGCCTATTTGTTAAATAAATAATAAATTGAACAATATTCATTTATTTCTTACTAAATATGTAGCATGAGTTTTCTTTCGTCTTAAACGTTCATTAAACATTTCATGTGCTGAAATTTTTAAAAGATCAAGTAATATAATAATAATTTCAAGTTGTACACGAATAAATTGACGTTGAATTGGTAATTGAATTGCTGATAACTATAAATAAAATGATTATTTGACGTTTTTTTTCTGAAATGAAAATATTAGTTCTTACATCATTTTGTGATGTTATTATTCGTATTAAACGCCAACGTTCAGCAAGTATTTCAGTTAATTGTTCAAGTATATTAAGTGCTCGACATAAATATTTTTTTTGTTCATTTTGATTCGTTGTATCACGAGCAAAACGCTTCCAAATAGGTACTGATCGTGTAAGCATTAATTCACAAGCATCATTATATCGATCAAGATTAAGCATATTAGTAAATGAAATATCATATTGTTGTAGGATTTCATATAAACGATAGAATACTGATTTATTATCAATGGCATTAACTGTTGGTTGACTTAAGATTTCATTCAAATCAACTTCAATTCGTCTTTAAGAAAACAAAAGCAAACGTTTCAAGATTTTGTCAAGTAAGACAAACTTATTTTCATAAATTAAATAGACTAACGAAGGGACATTCCCAGATGTTGGTTTATTTCTCAACTGGGACTAAGAACATCTTGTAGATCTCAGTGAACTAATCTGTGACAAAAAGGTTTTATGATTGTAGTCTGTATATCTGAGAAGATCAAATGATTTTAGGGAATTTTCGCTGTAGGATCCGACATTTGCAACAAGATCATATTTTCGAATTGTCACCTAAATTTTGTCTAGCTAGTATTTAAAAAGTTTCAAAATTTTTCGGACTAAGTATCTTCAAGATATGAAACTTTCAAGGTATAATAGGCCCTGTTTTGGTAGATCGCGTATGAAATTTGGAGTCTTACTGCAGAAATGTACTAAAAATGTTTGATCTTTCACTAAGGTCTACAAGAGGAGCCAAGTGCTGACTAAATGGCGAATGACATTCTGGAAGTGTTCATTTGTAAGTCTATATGATTGATCATGATTTTATCAGAATCATCAGAGAACTTTGATGATAAATTTTTCGGTTCGGTTTTATGTATTACATCATTTTCTGTCACATTAATAGCTATTAATGAAGTCGAAATTTTTAGAGATAATAATATATGAATTATAAAGAATAATACTCTATTTCATAAAATTTCAATTGTTTCTTTTTATCCATTTGAACTAAGTTTTTTTTTTAAGGTTTATCTTTTCTTTATTTACCAAAATATTCAAAAAATAAACTTTTTCCCTAATTCATTCTATTGTAACTTTGCTCGTTCTAATAATTGCATCTCAGAAATATATATTTTAAGTATTTAATCAAATAGAAATAAATGATTTGTAGAAAATTCGAAAGCAAGCATTTTTAAAAAGAAATTGGTCTTTTTTTTTATAGTCAAGTCATTAGTACACTTCGTTAATTGAATCTTCACTAAGAAGTTTTTAGCTTTAGAATTCCACACTACTGATGTTTCGTATGTTATGCAAATATTTTCTATAATAAAAAAAAGACAATATTTAATAATATTACTTAGTACTAAGAAGTGAAGCAGCATAAGCAATTGATATAAGTTTATTAATATGTAATTGTGCAATTGATTCAAGTCGTTTAATAGATGTTTCAAGTAAAGATCGAATCTATATAAACAATAAGATAAAACAAAAACAAAAAGAGATGTTTTTTTTTTAAAATAAAAATCTATTAATTTAACTTTTTTCTGTTTGTATAAATCTTGATTTGTATCTTGTCTTAATGCTTCAATAACAGTTATTACTGATCGATACCAATCTTGTTCATCAATTGGTATTTGCTAAATAGACAAAAAAATAATAAGAAAAAAACAATCTCTTTTATTATTTTAATTTTAATTACTTGTCCTTTCATAGCTAAATCAATAGCTTGATCAAAACGATGTTCATATAAAGCAATTTCACCCAAAAGAATATAAGCACGTGTTTCACATGTTTGATCATCATAAGTCTTTCAAAACAAATTTTTTTTTTTAAATAAACATAAATGATATTTATTATACTTTAGCTTGATTAAGAATTTCTTGTAACATTTCTTTTGATTCTTGTATAAAATTTAATTCAAATAGTAAATTAGCTGTTTGTAACCATATATTTCTTGTTATTAATTTATTTAATATTTGTCGATCTCCTGGTAAATCAGCTATTAAGGATTTTGGATCATTTGCCTATTTTTTAAAAATTAATAGACAATACAATAATTCATTTACAAAAAGACATAAAGAAAACTCATACTTGATTTCGTGACATTGGAGATGAATAAGCTGATGTACCATATGAACGAGCTTCACTTTTTAATCCACTACTACCTAATGCTGATTCAAATAATGTTTCTTCTTCACGTTGTTGTGCAAGTAATTTTGTATATATAATCATTTCGGCTCGTGATCTATTGAATAATTGTATTTTTTTTTTCAAAAATGTTTTGATTATTATTAAAATCTTACGTAGCTAAATCATCATCTCGAATAGCAAATGGACGTGCCAATTGACAAATTGTTTGCATTGGTTCAAGAAGATTTAATTCTTGACATAGTTGTTGAATACTAATTAAAAAATAATTATTTAAAGAAAAACAAAAAAAAACAACAACAATATGGCAAACAAATTATAATACCGAAGTAAGACATAAATACGAATAGATGAACTTTGCAAAATTATTTGACCAATAAGTCTCATAAAACTAAGTACAGGTAAACTCATATGATTATAACCATATTCACGTAAAAGACGAACAAACATATCCAAATAATAAAATGATAAAAGCTAGAAAATGAATATACATATAGAGATTATGTTAGAAAAAGAATATTTTCGAACCGGTTTTGATATTGTATTTTTATTAAAACCTCGTTGTTTTGCTTGTGATAATGTATATGTTTGTATTATATCATCATTAGGTACAAACAGTGCCCATTCAGATAGATTTTTGGGTGTTGATGTATCCCATGTACCAGCTTTTATATTCTTTTAATATAAGAAAAAAAAAATACTAGAAATAACATCATATATAAGAGAAAACACTATTTAATTGAAGTCACTTTAATATAATGAGAAGACTTCAGAACTTGGAAGATGAGATTTTTCTATTGTTGTAAATCATATCAACAAATAATAATTAGTTTTATTATAAAATTGCATAAGACAACCAATTACAAGTTTATCTTAAAATAACTACCTATCGCAGGTAATTAAATCTATGTGACATTATAGAAACAAATCTCATTTTTCGACAATAATGAAAAAGCAAGATAAGATAAAGTCTAAATTCTCAAGAAATATTTTAATATTAAATTTTAATAAACTGCACTATGGGATACAACGGCAACAGTACACTGTCCATGGTCTAAATGCATATAGATAGACCAACGGTGAACACATGATAAAACTATGCGAATCTTGGATTGATTTCAATTTTTTTTCGATTCGGAACGCCATTTCAAGAAAATAACTGAACTATGTAAAAATAAACTAAAGGCGTTCCGAGTTCAGGAATTCGAATCTATAGAAGACTCGCCAAAATTGTTAAGTTCGATTTTCTCATTCGAGAAAGGATTAGTTCTCATGTTTTGTAATATGCAGCTATTTTCTTGAAATTGATCTCCTTCAACCGAAGAAGTCAAAATGAATATAAGATCCCTGCAGCTATATCATGCATGTACCCGTCTTCACAGTTATTCTATACGCCTATGTCTTTTCGTTTATGATAACACAACTCCTAGCACGATATCGACGGCGTAATAAAACATAATTCAAAAGCTTTCTCTATTAATTAATTCATTAGAGTATTTATTTGAAGAATTAGAAGAAAAGCATTGATAATAATTCATGTATTTCTCGAATGTAATGATTTAAGAAGAAAGCAAAATAGAATACTAACTGTTGCTTGTTTATCAGTACTCTTTCCAGCTTGTACAGCGGGTGGTTTCTTTTTCGTCGCTGAACCTGGTGCTCCTTTTTGTTGTTGTTTTTTTCCTGTATCAGCTGCAGCTATTTGTGCTTCAGCAGCAGCAGCAGCCACTTCAGCTTCAGCATCTTTACTAATTTCAATACTATCCAATAAGCCACGCTAAATAAATAAATTTGTTTTTTTTTGTTCTTCGATAAAAACGAAACAAATTTTTTCTAACCTGCCATAATCGCGTAAGAAACCAATAAGCTTTTTGTAATAATTGTTCATATTCAGGTTGATTTCGACGAGCCATATTAGCAAGTAATATATGACATCGACATAAATATTCAAGACGACGAACTTGAACTACTTCACCAATTGATAAATCCGGTTGTAAACGATTAGGAACTAAAACAAATCAATATGATATTTCGTTTTTTTTTCTCATTAATAAAATATTATTTCTAATTAAATTACGTTTAGGTTTTGTTGGTCCTAAATGAGCTTGATCTGGATTACTACCAATTTCTGCTTTTGGTGTCGTTTCATTACGTTCTCGTTCACTTTTAATCATTGATGAACGATTATTAGGTACTAAAATAATTCAAAATAAGAAAACAAAAATTTCTTGTTTTCAATTTACTCTCAGAATCTTGTTCATCAATGACATTTAATTCTGCTTGTTTATAAACTTCAGGTGAAGTTAATAATAAATCAATAGACCATTCAATTAAATCAATAGCATTATCAATAAGATATTCATTACCATATAGCCAACTTGCTAATTCTAATATATAATCAATTTTAGTCCAATAATTATCAAAACTCTATTCATATTTACAAAAAAAAAAAAAAAAACAAAAAAATTTTTTTTTTCGTCTTGATTATCAAAGAACAAAAAGAAAAAAAGATATTATTACTTGTAATGTAGCAATAGCATGTTGATATGCATTAATAACATGTTCACGTTTTTTTGCCATAATTGCAACTTGTCTCCACATTTTAGCTAATGCTAATTCACCTTGTTCACGAAATTTTTGCATATCCGTACTAATTGATAAACCTAATTTTGATTTAATTAAAACTCGATATTTATATAAAAGTAAACGATGTTGTGTACGTGGTAAAACTTGTAATGCATTATCAATAGCATCTAATGCTGAATGCCATGAATGTTTATCCATATAAATTTGTACTAAAACACCATAAAGTGCTGAACGTATTTGTGCATCTTCCTGTGGATTTGATGTGGATGTTATTATTTGTGATTGTTCATCATCAATTGATAATGATTTTTTATCTTTTTTATTAATTAATGGTTGTTTTTTTGGTTTAAAATTATCTGTAGAAACAGATTTTTCTTCTTTCTAAAAGACAAGAGATATTATGTTTAAGAAAATTTTCATTTATTTTTTGTTCATCATACTATTTCTTTATCATTAAGACTAGCAACAATTGATTTTGGTGCAACTGTATTTATATGATGAATAAGTTCATTTAATGGATCAAATAAAAGTGCACGTTCTAATTTACGCTTTATTGATACTCGACATGTATTCCAAAAATAACGTGCTAAATGCATTGTTAATTCATATAAATCAGCTTTTGATGCATAACTTAGAAAAAAACAAAAAGAAATATTAAAGTAAAAAAATGGACGTAAGAAATTTTTGTAATTAATTACCTTGCTGCTTCAACAAGAACAGCAAGTACTTCTTTTCGTTCTTGTTTTTGTCCAGTTTGTTGTTTAAGTAAACATTCAGCATGAGCACCACATGCACGACTAACATATTCATTAGCTAATGATAATTGAAATCTTTTTAATAAACGAAAAAAAAAGAAAACAAACAAATTAAAAATATTTTGATATTTTTTTTTTTTTAAATTTATTTTGAAAACAAGAATTACTTTTCTACTTTTCGTGTTTGAAAAAGTGTTATTAATTCAAGAGTTTTATCACGACAATAAACAGTTGTTTCAATATCATTAGCACGATTAGCAATTATACCCAAACGACACCATAATTGTAATTCAACAAGTGAATCATTCCATGTACAATCATCAACAAATGTAACTGTCTAAATAAGATAAGAGTTTTTTTTTTAAATTATCTTTCAATATTATACATGTCATCACGTCTAGACCTCATTAGTTATTCTTTCTCTTTATCTGATAAATAGACTTATTTCAATAGTAGCTTTTTGTTACTTATACATTTTTTTTGTCAGCACAAATACATGGAAATAATAATTGAGATGAATAATTTATTTGTTAGTGGAAGATTTATTCAGATTTTTCTGTATAACTGAATCAACAGCAAACCGTAACGTATCAACTTTTATTTTTGCACGTCAGAAACATTAGAATTCTTATGAAATTTCAAAGTTTGTACGAGTATGTATATTTATTTAAACTACTAAGAAAAGAATCATCTAATTTAATTCGTTGCTTTTGATTTTATATTTTGGGAATACAGAGAAAACTTCGAATTTCGAATTGATCTAATAGGATTTGGATTTACAACATATTTTAGTTGAGATATTGAATTAGTAGTAAATATAACCTGTAGGACTATGACTTTAGCAGAAAAGTCTTTTTCTTTCTCGAATTTCGAATTGAAAACACACTAATGAAAGTTTCAGCTACGTTAGTTTTGAAAACTTCCACGTCTCATATAATGTCGATGGAAACATTCCGATATATTGAAAGTTTAATATCACTCAAATTCAAGGGTGAGTAAAGGTTCGGAAATTCGAATTTTATTTTTCGTTAATAACTATTGAAAATATCAACTTACGAGGGAACCGTTTCAAGTGATTTACGCCGATTTTGCTTATATTTTGCCCATATGTAGGGGTCAGTATGCTAAGAAAAAGCCTAAGAGGATTTAGGCCCATGTTGCTTCTTTCGAGGGTTATGGCCATTTTACTGATTTTTCGGCCTATGACAAGGTATTTACAAAAAATTCAAATGACGAAATTATGTCTTGAAATTTTGCCCATATGTAGGTCTCATGGTCCTTAATGTATGCTACAAGTTTCACCAAGAATAAATGTTCCATTTTCGAGACAATGATTGTCCAAAAAAACTCGATTTTTCTTAGTCCTCTATAAAATGCAAATATTTATTGCAAATTTATTATCTCGAAAATGGAGCATTTATTTTTGCTGAAACTTTTAGCATACATTTAGGACCATGAGACCTACATATGGGCAAAATTTCAAGACATAATTTCGTCATTTGAATTTTTTGTAAATACCTTGTCATAGGCCGAAAAATCAGTAAAATGGCCATAACCTTCGAAAGAAGCAACATGGGCCCAAATCCTCTTAGGCTTTTTCTTAGCATACTGACCCCTACATATGGGCAAAATATAAGCAAAATCGGCGTGAATCACTTGGAACGGTTCCCTCATTAGTAAAAATATTATGCGAAAATATAGGTAAATGTGAATATAAGAGATAGTCATTTAGCATAAATAAACTTCTGATTTTCTCTGTATGATAGAAAGAGATTATGATTGAATATTTTATATTAAATTAGAAATATACAAATGAGTAAATTTCTTCTTTTCTAGCTATTATGAGTTATTCTCCGCAAAACAAACAACAATGGGCCAACCGAAATTGACTTTCATTACCAATATTCTTATACTGACATCAATATTCTCGTAGGCACAAAGAACTCCACAAATTATTTATATCATCAACATAGCAACCTGTATCTTCTGTTAGTAGAGCTTTGAAAAATTTTTATTTCCATTTATACTACAATTTGATAAATCTTACCAGCGTATATTTAAAATAGACTATAAAAATAATAATTTATTTTCGGCATGACCATAACTTCTTCGATATTCTATTTTCAATTCTTTATTGTTTTATTTTATAACTGCTTTTTCTTTCGTATTTATTGCATAAGACTGTTCTTTCCAGCGAGAGATATTCAGTGTTTCGTTTCAATGATATAAAGGAACAATAAAAGTATAGTTAATATGTTTCGGCACTTTCAAGAAGAACCAACATCTAAATGTATCAGTTCAATCGTTGAAATCATGCTTGTAATTGATAACAATAAATGGCTGGTTCCGCTTGGTAGACGATTTCTTACCGATGGGAATGAACTCTTAAGGAGTTTTTACATATCCTTTTTTTTTCAAAAAGTGGAGCATAAAATTGTGTTTTGTTTTTTGCAAATGAAATACATTTTATCAATATCGAAGATAATTTATGTGAAAAAAAATGCACCTGATTATGGTAAAATAATGAGTAACAAGGATGATTAATATCAATGATTGGTCTGACTATTTCTACTAGTATCAATATGAAAAAAAAAACTCAACTGGTACCTGTTTAAGATTCATTCCATCTTTATTATCATGCCAACCATTATCAAGACGTGAAAGTGTATCCACAGCAATAACAGCTCGTGATAATGTATTTAAACTAGATGTATTTTCCTATTTACAAAAAATAAAGAATATATTCGAAGATGATTTTTTTTTTGTTTATGTTTGTTTTTTTCTCTAAACTTACATCTTCATCACCAAGAATAGTGGATAGAGATGATTTAATTGATTGTTGTAGTTGTTGTTTAATAGTAACCCATAATTGTAAAAGTGTTTGACGATCTCGAATTGAAATCGAAAGAGGTTTAGCAACTTCTTCATTTGTTTGATTTATTGCATATTCGCATATCTTTTATCGAAAAACAAATTATCAATTTAAATTCTTTTTGATTTTTTTATTGAATAACCTACATCAAGAGCAGCTTTAAGATCATCAGTTTTAACAGATGTGAGTGGTGATCCAGCAGGTACAACATTTGCTGCAGTAGCTTGTTGATCACCTTTTGCTCCTTTTTTTGTTGTTGTTGTTGTTGGAGCTTGTTGTGGTATGGGAGTCGTTTCTGCATTCGATATCGGTCGTGTATCATCAGCCGATGTTGGTAATGGCGTTATATAAGCATTACCAAGTGAGACACATAAATTTACCAAAAGTAGAATTTCACTACAAAAAAAACAAACAAACAAAAGAAATGTGTTATATCATTTTCTTTTTTGTTTTCTAAAAGAAATTTCAAATAAAAACTAACCGCTCAAAGCCAACTTTTTTCAATCCATTAACAATTGTTGATAATGGATCAAGAATAAGACGTAAACGATTACTATAAAATAAATGACGTGTATAATTCCATAAATATTCTCCCGAACGACAAACAAGCCATGATTCATTAAGTAATTGACCTAAAATAGTTCCAGTTGCAAAATGTGTACAAGCACGAGTAGATAATTGTTGAAGCCATTGACTAAAATAAACAATATAAAGAAAAATTTATTTTCTATTATTTATAAATTACCAATAATATTTCCAATCATTATCGGATTCTTGTTGTTGTTGTACTCGTTGTGCAGCTGGTACTGTTGGCATTGGTGGTCGAATAGGTGTATCAAATAATTCTATACGACGTTCACGTATAAATTCTATTTCAGCCTAATAATAATAATCAAAAATAAAAACAAATAAAAAAAATATCAAATTTATACTTCGCCAGCAATAAAATGTATTTCAGCTAAAATTCGAATAAGATCACGTTGAAATACATTTGGCATTAATGATTGATCAGTTGCATTTAATATTGAACGACGTTGTTCATTATCATATAATAAACAAAAACGTGCTGCTATTCGACATATATCCCATATTTCTTGTCGACGTGCAATCATTGTTAAATCTGCCCATAATTTTAATCTGAATAAACAGAAATATTGATTTCTTTTTTTTGTTTTTCGAAATATTCGTACCGTTTATCTTGATCTGTTTCAGACATTAAACGTTCATATTGAGTAGTATTTTGAATACATTTTTCATAATGATCAGCAAAACCTTTCAATTGTGCTGTTGGATTTGCACGCATTTTTCCAATAGCTAAAAATTATTGTTTAATTTTTTTCGTTTTAAAAAAATACATTAGCGTAATCCCTGTAGAATTGAAATATGAAACACAATGGAGCTATCGGTATCGTAAAAGAGAGAATTAATCAATATGTGTTTCGTTTCGTCGATTTTTACCTGCTGTTAATGCAAGATATTAATCGAAATATATTACAGTGATTAGGATAAAAAAAAGTGAAGAACAATTATCACACTAGTCTGATGGTAGGATTTGATCTCCCGGTAATATCTATCACTCATCGGCGGGCCAGCGTCTTTTTTGTTAGGTGTGGCAAAATTTTTAAAATATTTGAGGACGTCATAAGAAGTTAATTACAAAATCTTGTTAGTGTACGTACATTTTCATAAGAAAGAGTTTCTATATTAGTAATTCTGTTCATTTTATTTTTATTATTTCACTATTAAAAAAATAATAAAACAAAAAACAATGCCACCGAAACCTGTCACATAAAGCTTTATAAATACAATTAAAATATTATTTTTCGGTTGTTCTTCCCTAATCGAGAGTCACCTTATGAATCCCCGGGGTGTCCCAGTCAATTTTTCAATTTTTGGGGACTCCATGTCGGGAATCCCTGGGGAGTTGAGAAAAATAGGAAAAAAATTTTAGCAAAACTTCTATCGAGACTATCAAAAACCTATGTAAAAACCTCGAAATTCTCTTCAAAAATTTTTGGGGAATTTCTGAAAACTGGTTGGGGAGTCCCCGTCGAAACCCCAAGGAAGTCCCTCAAAAGTCCCAGGGAGTCACTGGGGATTTCGACAGGGACTCTCCGACCAGTTTTCAGAAATTCCCCAAAAATTTTTTAAGATAATTTTGAGGTTTTTACATAGGTTTTTGATAGTCTCCATAGAAGTTTTGCTAAAATGTTTTTCCTATTTTCTCAACTCCCCAGGAATTCCTGACATGGAGTCCCCAAAAATTGAAAAATTGGCTGGCACTCCCCGGGGATTCATAAGGTGACTATGGATTAGGGCTTACTGCCACGAATTCTTTTACAATTTCATCATAGTCAATTTCAAATTCACGTTCAATGTTTAGCAATGCAAGTGCTGATAAACAATCTTCTCCTGTTGTTGTTCGAAGATAAGTTTTGATTCTTCTCAATGTCGAAAAGCTTCTGTCGTCATCACTGTGATGCCATGATACTGTGAGAGAGAGCGAGAATGAGAGATAAACAGAACAGAAAAAAACATACAGTGCATAATCAGTCCGCTTAATTGTGACATTCACTATTATTGAAAAAAGAACATTCTCTTGTTCTATTCTTTCTCAGCTATGTGAATAAGCAGTATAAATCACATCATAAAGTTCATCATTCTGAAAATGATTATGAGATTTGTTCTGCTGCAATAAAAGGTTCTTCAAAAATTACAACTAATGAAAAATTTTAGGTGTGGCAACTGCCACACCTTGCCACTGTGGTGGCCCGCCGATGGTCTATCACGATGTGTAACTAGTGTAAATATACGGACCTAAGCTTTCTTAGGTCCGATCCTGGTCCTGTACGTCTCTAATGACAAGTCTATGGTCTATCGCTACAGTTCAACACTGTTTTTAGATCATGTTTCATGCAAATTTTTTTTTAAAGCTTTTTGTTACCATTTGGATTTTCTGAATCTAATACAACTTGAAATGCATCTTGTGCTAATAATAAACAAGCTTCAATGAGTAGAGCACGTTGTTTATTTTTATTTCCATTTATTGTTTTTCCAGCTTGTTCAATTATTGTTGCAACACGATCATTAATATTTTCAGGAATTTTATATAATTCACTACGTAAATGAAGTCTTTCTAATGCTAAATTAATACGATCTGAATAAATTGATGTATCATCTAATTGTTTAGCCTAGTAGAATTAATTTATTTTATTGAAAGAAACAAAAAGAAACGAAAAAAAATCTTTTACTTTAAGTAAATTAGTTTTTGCGGAATCAAGTTGTTCAATATCTTCTTCAATTTTAGCTAATTCAAAATGAGCTTGACTTCGTAATAACCAATCAAGACTACATATATATATAATTTATTATTAAAAATAAATATTAATTTAATATTAACCTTTGTATACGTTCAAGTATATTAACAAGTGTTGTTAATGCTTTTCGAATTTTTCTTCGTAGATTTGTTTGTAATAATGGTAAACATAAATTCCATAAAACAGTACAACCTGTTTGAACTAAGTCATATTGTTCTGTACGTACTAAAGATTCTAATGTTTCTTCTGTTAATTCAATTGCTCGAATACGTGTCTATGTAAGAAAAAGATCAAGTTTTCTTTATATTCTCATTAAATAATTTCTTACGTCTACAGAACTTTTACTATATAATTGTTCACTTTCTCCTAAACTTTTAACCATATATTCAGCTTGTAATAATCGTACTTCAAGAAGATATTCTGGCTCCTTCAAAAAAGAAAACACGAAAATAAAAATAAAAAAAAAATTTCTTAGATTGGTTTTTCTTGTCTAACTTTCAATCGAATATTTGAAAGAGCTTCAAGAATAACTTTCGTTAAATCAGTATAACGAAGTAAAAGTGAAAGACGACCAGCTTCAATTAATAAACGATGTCTATATGTACAAAAACAAAAATCATAAATAAATTTTTAGATTTAACAAAAAAAAAAAAAAAAACAAGTCATTTCGATTCAATACTTTTCATATAATGTTAATGTTTTATCTAATCGATTCGTATGATTATCTCGTGGTGATAAACCTTTACTTAATTTATTAGCAGTTACAGCACTACGTAATGGTAATGCAACAATTCGATCAAATGCATTTTTTAAATTTTCATTTGTTTCATTTGTTGTTTTATTTTCAAGAATTTGTCTAAAATAAATTAAAAAAAAAAAAGAAAGATTCAACAAAAAAATAAACGAAACAAAAAATCTCAAACCGATGAATTGATGCAAGTTCAATAAGTAATCGATTAAATAGAGATGATGGATCATCACTTGGTATATATGGTGAAAGATTATCTGGTTCAAAAACATTGTTGACAGTCTTTTTAAAAGTATTTAAAAGTATTTTTCTTTTTTTTTTTATAATTAAAATCTTACTAAAAATTGAAGAATATTTGAAAGAAGTGCAAGTTGTTTTCTTTGACATAATTGTAAAAGTTGATTACTTATTTCTCGAGCTTTAGTCATATTATTAGCATCCATATAACATCGAACTAATTCACTTGAAGAAAACAAAAAAAAAAAACAAGAAATTTTAATTAGAAAAATCAAATGAGAATGAAATAAAGCATACAAAAGAAGTTGTGTTTGCCAAAGATAATCTGGTTCATCAGTAATATTTAGTAATGTATCAATAACTTGTTGAAAACTATCACATAGATATTTTCGATAACCAACACGAAAAAATGGTCGAACATAATTAAAATAGATAACTGATGTATTGTAAACTAGAAATTGATATCTTTAAAAAAAATTAAATAAAAATAATTTTCATTATGAAATAAAACAATAAAATACTAACCTCGGAGATATTGAAGCAAAAGTAAGACATTTTTGTAAGAATGGTATAGCATTGTTCAAAGAAGTCTAAAAATCAAAATAATGATATTGATTTTACAAAGAAATTTATTATTTATAGAAGAAACATGTTGATTGTGAACGATTTTATATCGTCTGATTAATAATATTGAACTTGACTCTCATGATCTACTCAAATCAGAAATTTTCATTTGCAGACTTGTTTGACTCAATTTCGTTAACTGAATTTGGCTTGAAAGATTTGTCTTTTAACTCACAGGTGGTTTAACAATCATTAATCCGTAACGGACTATAAATTTTATACGTAATAATATTTAAAACTACGATGTTTATAAATAGAATATTATCCTTTATTGTTGAAAAATGTACATAAGAATTACAACAACAAAAAATAGTTAAGAAAACAAAGCTATGAAATGACTATTAAACGTAACTATGTTTAGAAAGAAATAATAAGTGAAATATGTGAATGAGTTAACCTGTGGGCTATGTGTAAAATAATAAACCTCAGTCTGTGAGCCTGTCACATACCCAACCAGTGCATCGATTATCATTCGATTGGATTGTGTTAAAATGGCTCAATCTATCAATATGTTTGACTCAAACAATCGTTGTTCCATAATGAGGAAAGAAAATATTGGTTTAGAATACTTATAAAGACAGTTGCATTGAATCACTGGATGTACACGACATATTTTCAGATAAAAAGATTCGATAAATAAAATTCTTTTATTCAATGCTTTAATATCTTCATTTAGATTTATCAACAAATTTAATTTAAATAGTTTAGCATTAAGTGAGAGTAAGTTTTTCTTTTTATTTTACTCACAAAATCTTGAGCTGCTTTCGGCATATACATTCGAAATTGACATAGATAAGCTCGTCCAACAAATTGACTTTTAACTGGACTTAAAGAGAAAAACATTTGAAGACATTCATCTGTAATTGAATCTGCATTTAACTGTATTATATAAATGAATATTTTATATATGAAAAGAAGAAAATATATAATCTTACATCAAGAGCACTTTCTGCAAGTAATACATAAATATCTTGTCCGATTGTATCTTTACTTTGAACAAGATTAACTTGAAAATTTTGTTGAAGTTTATGAAATGCATCAGATAATAGTTTAATGTCTATAATTTTAAAAATCAATTTAAAAAATAGAATAGATAAAAAAAAACGAAGAAATATGTGAGACCATTTTGTTCAGTACCAGTCACAACCAAACGACGAATTTGAGCGTCCATTTAATAACTATTTATCAATGTATCAAGTTTGAATGAACAAATTTGGATTAGCTTTAACAATCGACATTCTAAGAATAGTCACCTTGGAGAACTCTCCCAATAAATAATAATTATTTAGCGACATCTTTTTTAACATCTATAGTTCAAGTAACTTTTCTAAATGTTCCGTTTTTAAGACGAAAACTCTTGTTTTCTTTCATGATCAAAGAATAGGATATGTTAACGAGGTCGAACACGGTCAGTAATATTAGACATGTTATAACTGACATAATATGGCATGTGAACGTCTGCTTACGGTCGTGTTAGAATAATTTACGATGATCCAAATGTGATTGACTCCGGATTACTCACCCCCTATTTTACCAGATACGATTTTTAGTTTTTAATATTGTATTGATTCATTTTAGATTGTGATTATAATTTCTTTCATCAATGTGATTATATTATGTCATGTGATAAATTTTCTTTAAAAATATATAGACATTTATCTTGTGCACAAAAAAGAAAATACGTCAACAATCGAATTTAGGGTATAAAAGCACATTGATGATCTGTATTTGTCTTTTGATATAACCATTTCGGCTTTTTTCCTCTTGATAAATGAATAAGCAAAAATTTATACAATGATTTCATATATAAAAGATCGTAGAATGTCGTATTACGAGTTTATCTATTAATATTAACATTTGCCATATATCTTTCTGAAGAATCTATTCGATATTGATGATATGTCTCAACATGCTTCTTGTTTTCGTTTCGCATTCATCAGTTCTTTTAGTTCAAATTCATAAAATATATTTGACATGAAATATAAATATCCCTGCAAAAAGAATAATTGATAAAGTAATATCCGTTCTAGATGAGTTTTTCTTTCAGTAAGCGATTCAAAGAAAAATTACTAAACTTAAATATTTCATATTGGTCATGAATGTAGTTGAATATTCTTGACAGTATAGAATTGTTTACAATATCAATATCTTGTTTGATTTCATAAAATGATATATAACTTATCATATAATCAATTCATTCATTGTGTGAAATAAAATATTCTCCCAAGCTATGTAGTGTCCAATATGCCTATATATCAGCAATCAACATTTGACAATATTAAAACATTGATCAGAAGATATCAGTACATGAGATTGAATTCAAATTTTAAGAAGACATTGTATAGTTATAGCTGAGTTAAATGTTGTTTTATTTTAAACGGGAATGTTCGATCTTTCTATCGATCATTTTCAACCTGTAACAATCTCATGTACTGATATCTTTTGATAAATGTTTAAAATTCGTATGTAGAAATGAAAACATGAGTTATTTATTAGGTTGTGAGAACTACTAGCAATTAGTAATTTATTGATAATGATGTTTTGTGTATTGTGTTCTGAAAGACCGTAGAATGTGTTACAGGTTGAAAATGATCGATAGAAAGATCGAAAATTCCCGTTTAAAATAAAACAACATTCCACTCAGCTACAACTATACAATGTCTTCTTAAAATTTGACAATATACTCAAACAATACCTTTATCACACTTGAATGCATATATTGATGCACTGAGTGTATAAATATCTATTTTTTCTTTTGATGTTATTATTGTTCCAATATAACAAAGCAACTAATACTTAGACAACTGTAAGAAAGGTTATTGACAATCAGTTTTGTAAAATATATTATTGTACTCTATAGTTGTCAGTGTTTCCTAAAATAAAGACAAACATATTTGACACCAAAGAATTCACTCTTTACGTACATAATTAGTTTTTCATCTCAATTAAATAACAATGACAGCATTTCTCGAATGTACGATAAGAATCATACCTTTATTGTCAATCATATAATGAATAAATCTATGTATTGTTTCTTTTTCTTGTTTATCCTATTCGAATTATATCCTTTGTTTTTCGTTTATGGTTATTATATATCGACTATTCTTGGATGCTGACTACCTGTTGTCTAATTTGCCACGCCCTCTATTTTTTTTTTTTGACAAAACCATGTATAAAACAACAAGAAAATAACAAGTATTACATGTACGCATTAATATCTAAATAAACAAGTATCATAATCGTTGATTTGCATTAACTATTGATTAAGTTTAAAAACAAAACAAAAATATACCTCGCCTACCTGTAAACATATGTAGTGAATATTACATATTACTCTTTTTTTACATATTAACGATTTTTGTTATTGCTCTGACATATCATAAGAGAAAAAAATCTATTCTCATTAAAAGTAAACATATTCATCAAAACAAGTTATTTGAAACTCAGTAGTATCTGTAAAAATGGTTGTATTTGTTCGAAAACTCACGTAAACTTTCTTTAGCAACATTTTTTTACGCAAGTTTTCATAAGTTTTTGCTAAATTACTTTCATATATTCAATAATCACAAGTCATTAGTCAAATTATTGTTAGTATTATTTTTGGTCCATTTGTTCCTAGTAACAAAAAAAACAAATAAACAAAGTCTCTTTTATCCTTTTTTTTTAATGAAAGCGGTTTTTACTTTCTGAATAGGCAACATTTCAAGTTATTGTTAATTTGAGTTTGAGTTTGATATTTTTCATGTTCTTCTTAGGACTTGAACTTGATTTACATCAAATAAAAAAAACGTTCGGAAATTACATTATGTGTTGCTGTTGTTAGCATAGTGAAGCCTAATAAACTATGATTTTAAAATGAATTAAAAATAAACATAAAAACTCTTCATTCACATAACATGAATGAAGGCTTGAATACAAACAAAGTGATTTCTATTCTTGTTTTTTTTTTCGTAAGCAAAACACTTGTTCATGATAGCGCATAGAGTATTTATATAGTGTCCGATTTTCTTTTTTCTACCTTTTCTATTCTTGCAATATTGATCAATACAATGAGTTGAGTAAATAAAGTAATTCATATTCAAACTATTCTCAGTGTTTTTTCATTAAACGATTTAACATTATAAGGATTCTAAACGTTATTGTGAACAATAGGTTTTTGTTCCTGTTAAGAAAATAATCTACTTGGCATATTTCTGAAGATATGCATGAATTTTCACTAGTAGAAATAAATGTAAAGGAAGCAAATTTTTATAATGATAATTAATATTCAAACAAGGCAACGAGAAAATCTACAATTAATGTTCTTTTAGATCATATACTTGTAACATTTAATGATCGAAATCATTATACAGAAATCAACCTAGAGGCAAATCAATGAGTATCAACAGTTATTGAAAGAGCTACTGACACGATGACATACGAACAATATCGATCTACTCGTATAATACGATTCTAAAACAAATTCACTGCGTCTATTGTACGTTTTTAAAAATCAATGAATACTAATATCTATGAGGTACAGTAGAATTATTCTATGTTAACCATAATTTATTTGGATAATTTTATTTAGAATGTAAACAAATAAAGACTAACGATAAACAGTATTTTTCACATGAGAACTTTTTTATATTCGTCATTTATATTATAAAATCCAAATCAATTTAAAAATTTGAATTTGAATTTAGAGTATACTAAAAATTTTTCATCAAATAAGTTCTGAGAGCTCTTTTCATCTTGCTTATAACATTATACAAGATAGCCGAAAATAATAAAACTACCAGAAACTTTGAAAAACTTTGTTCGCTGGTAACATAATTAACAATGAAGCAGATCAAAACGCTAAAAAGCCTACGATCATAATCGATTTGTTTGTTAGCATTAGTCGTTGTTTTCTTTAAAACTTCTGATTTAACCAAAACCCCCGATCTTCAACGTATGTTTTGAATCTTGACTGATTCCTAGTAAACAGATTACCAAATCTCACTAGTATGCAGTTTGCATCGGTGAAACTGTGACTGTGAACAAATGATCAATCATTATCGTTACATAATTAGCAATAAATTCTTTTTTTCCTGTCGTGTTTATAACACTCTGAATAAAATCAGGTATTCTTCCTTACTCTTATGTACTCTATTGAAGAAAAAGCTATACTCTATGAATAATACTGAAGAAGGGCTTCGACGTACCTGTATTATCATCTATTATTTGTAAAGCCATGAGGTAAATCACATATGCTATCAGCATATGATCAGTGATTTATGATGCACTTTAATTAACTTTACATTACGTATTGAAGAATGTGTTTAAACAACGTAGAAAGATACCTTGTCTACCTGTAGACATACGCAGTAACTATTACATATTACTTTCTTTTTTTTTTTACACATTAACGATTCTCATCATTGCATTTGCATATCATAAGAGAAAAAAAGCTGTTCTCATTAAGAGCGAAAATATTTATAAAAACAATTTATTCGAAACTTAGCAGTATCTCTAAAAATGGTTGTATTGTTTGAAGATCCACGTAAACTTCCTTTAGCAACATTTCTTATGCAAGTTTTCATTACATTGGTGGTATCTAAGATTCTTGCTAAATTACTTTCATATATTCGACAGCCACAAGTCATTGGTCAAATTATTGCTGGTATTATTTTTGGTCCATCTGTTCTCGGTAAGAAAATAAATCAATGTTCTTTTGGTCGTTTTTCTTTTCATGAAAACTATTTTTACTTTTTGAATAGGTAATATTCCAGCTTGGACAAATGCAATATGGCCACCATCAAGTCTTGGAATATTTCAACTTGTTGCTAATTTGGGTTTGATATTTTTCATGTTCTTCTTAGGAATTGAACTTGATTTAAAGCAAATTAAAAAAAGTTGGAAAATTACATTACCTGTTGCGGCTGCTAGTATCACAATTCCAGGTAAGTCCTCAGATATTTTTATGATTATAAACATTGGAAATAAAAACTTCTTTTCATACTTATTTAGTGGGAATTGGTTGTGCAATTGGTCTTTGGCTTTACAGCATGAATGATAATTTGAATACAAGTAAAGTGGCTTTTATTCTTTTTATTGGTACGTAAACAATAGTTGTTCATGTTAGTATATAGAATATTTATTAAATAGGTTCTGGTTTTGGTTTTTCTGCCTTTCCTGTTCTTGCAACATTAATGAATACAATGGGTTTATTAAATAAACCAATTGGTGTTCAAACAATTTCATTAGCAGCAGTCGAAGATATTGTCGTTTGGGTCATCTTAGCTATTGCTAGTGCTTTTTCATTAGGTGGTTCAGCACTACAAGGTCTCTACACTTTATTGTTAACATTAGCTTTTATTGCAATTATGTTTCTTATTATTCGACCAATTTTAAACTGGATTCATCGTTATTACCTCCGTAAAAACAATGATACCAATGTTTATTTAGTTGTTGGCTGTTTTTTATTACTTGTTATTGCAGCATTTACTACAGAAGTTATGGGTAAGATTCGAAGATATCCTATTCATAACCTTAATAACAATATCAGCCTTTAACATTCTCTCATATAGTAAAAGAAGAAGAAGATAGAATTATAAAATCTGTCATATATTTGGTCCTAACGATTATTTCATATAGGTATACATGCTTTTTTTGGTGCTTTCGTCAGTGGATTATGTATACCACGCAAAGGAAGTTTGGTTGAATTTTTAGGTTTACGTATACAACTTATTGTTGTAGAGTTTTTTTTACCGTAAGTTCTTTCATTTTGATGAAATTCTTTTAAATGATAAACTATTGATTAATTTTAGTCTCTACTTTGCTAATAGTGGTCTTCATACGCATTTAAATTTAATGAATAATGGTAAAGCATGGTGGACACTTATTGTACTTATACTTTTAGCTTCCATAGCTAAAATAGTTCCTGTAACACTTGTATCAAAACTTTGTTCAAGAAGACCATGGTTTTATTGTTTATCAATTGGTGTACTTATGAATACACGTGGTATTGTACAATTAGTTGTGTTAAATATTGGTGTGGAACTTGGTGTACTTTCAGCACAAATATTTGCAATATTTGTTTTAATGGCAACTATTTTAACATTTTTAACATCACCTGTATTATCTTTACTTTATGGAAAAAAATATGATGCACGACAATCATCTGTTTTAAAAGTTCCGGAAGATTTACGTAATCTTTCACAAGCAGAAATACGTATAGCCGAAACTAATTTAAATAATGAAAATATTCAAACAATTTCAAATGGTGGTGTTTATTCTAATCAATCATCAGTAGATGTAAATAAATTATCGAGAAATTCTTCAAATATCATTCCTCCAAATTATACATTTGCAATATTAGATTATCCAACTAATTATTCAGAACTTCATCCAGATACAAATGAGGACGAAATGGAAGAGTCTGATAATATGTTTCGTCTTGGTGTTAATATGACACGGTTTTAAATTAAATATTTATTTTAAATATTAGTTTTTTGGAAACGAACATATACTATTATCTGAGAAATTTACAAAATTATCCTGCATTTCATAATAAAGAAAAATCCGTCTTTATTTTATTTATAAATAAAAATGTAGCGCTAATAATTGTTACTTAATTTCATATGAGAATATCTTATGTATATTCATGATCGATCTATTAAATTTGAATACAATTTGAGAATTTAATTTTCATAAAACAACATTCAACTCAATTATCTCACGAAATTTTCTTTAAAATCCTGCATCTCTGAATGTATGTTTCAGAATTTTAGAAGAAATGCTTGAAAGGAACAGTTTCGAAGAAAAACAAAGCGAAACCATCAAAATAAAGTTCTACATCCGATAACATTATAATAAATCTTACATAGAGCAAGTTCAGCTTTCGAAAACATAACTTTCCAAAATGCTCTCAAAAAATACCAACAGTTGTCAGTTCCAAGTCATTTTCTCGTGAACGTCGACCTCGAAAACCTTGAAAAGATTGTAAAGACATAGAACACAAAATTTTCTATCTATTAGTACTAACGAGGGAAGGTCCCCAACTGATCAATCTCTTTTGTGTTGAGACTATGTGCGTTATGTATGTACAAAGGAGTTATGAATACCCTAACAAAAAAGTTCCGGCTGCTAGCTTATCACTACGGAGATACTGCACTTTTACGGTATGTTTTTAAATAAATGCTGTGATCACCCTCAGGAAAATTAGAAAAAATGATTTTCGAATTTCGACTTGACACTTTACATAGAAACAGGTCTTACTGAGAATAATGTTTTGTGATAGTTTCAGATCTTGTCGCTGTTCCTGTCCGTAGATACAACTATGGTAACTTCATTCAGATAAACCAAAAGCTTTCATGTTCTCATTTCAGAATAGGAACAGCGACAAGATCTGAAACTTTCATAAAACACTATTCTCAGTAAGACCTCTTTCTATATAAAGTTTCAAGTCGAAATTCGAAAATCATTTTTTCTGGTTTTCCTAAGGGAGACCACGGCATTCCTTTAAAAATATACCGTAAAAGTGCAATATCTTCGTAGCAATATGCTGGCAGCCCGAACGTTTTTCAGGGTATTCATAACTCATTTGTACCTACATAATGCACATAGGCTGAAGAGAAAAGGGATTAATCAGTTGGGGACCTTTCCTCGTAAGTAATTTACTTTTAGCATTGACTGTGATGAGTAAAAGCTTTACAAAAATCAATAAGCGTCAGTAGACAATAGGAAATCGTAGCTGAATGATTTAGTAAATGTGAATATTTTGATTTAACTTCGACAAAATTAAAATTTTTTGAAAATCAATGGCAATAGTTTTGCACTGTTTGAAAATCTCTATCTTGTAGCATATAAAGAAAACTTTTAATGTTTAGAAAGTAAGAGAAAAAAAAGCAGTAAGATTTAGTGTACGTGTTAAATGAGAACCAACGTCTCACCTCATACTAATTATACTCATTTTAGATTATGTTTCATACAAAAACTTTTGAACGATGAATTGTTACTTATAATCAAAGACTATTTCGTTATTTATCTGAAATCGTTGTCTCATATAATGCAAGTTTTAGGACTTTTTTTTTTTAATTTTAATAATGAATTTTCTCAAAAACTAATAACACTTCATAACAAGATTTGACAAAGAGAAAAAAGATAAACAAAGCTAATATCTTGTATGTTAGCTGTTTATATTAAAATTTACTATAACAGAATGACTGTAAATCTATCTATAATATATATTGATACAAACATCCTTGAATAATCTTTTCATTAAATTATAATGATAGACTGACAGTCTCAATTAAATTTATAAATAAGTATCTATTAAAGATCAGTCATTCAGCGATTTCTCATCACTTTTGAATAAATCAATTCCATGTCTCTATATTCAAACTATTTTATTTTCTCTATACATATTCCGTACAGAAGAACTAAATATGTGTTCTACTATCGTGCATAATAAAGTGTTAAAATTTTATTAAAATTAATTCACAATAAATCATAAAATAATGCATGCACGAGATCTGACTATTGTCTCTTGTCGATCACGAGCCATATTTACAGAAGTACTTATATTCGTAGTAGTAGTAGTAGTAGTAGTCCCATCAGAAGGTCTAATCGTACCCATCAGTTGATATTTGAAAAAGATTGCTTGTGCTGCATCACGAAATCGAATATCTTCATAATTATTAATATGTTTACTGTTCTTCTCATGAATACCATCACTCATTCATTCTATTTGAAGATATAATACAAGTAAATATCAATAATGATATCTACCATCATGCACAAGATTGTCATGGTTTTTTTTATATATACGATTAAACAAAACATGAAAAATACAGTAGCGACATCTTTTGAAATATATAAAACTCATTGGTTTAACCAATCAAAATTCGAAAATTTATTTTAGTCGTCTTTGTATGTATTGGCTAGTCAGCTAAGTTCAATTAGTTAATCATTTATAGGAACAATTTCGGTAGTTGTTTAATTTAAATTAAAAAAAAAAAAAGAATTTAATAACATGACTGAAACAAAATTAACTGGTGAAGTAAGCAAAGTTGATCGATCAGTTGATCGATTAAAAACATGTCCATTATTATTACGTGTATTTTGCAATAAAAATCGTCATCATTTAGCTAGGTTTGTTTTTTTGCTATTTAGAAAATATTTCTTTTTTTTTTTATTTTTTCTTTAGGGAATATGAACATGAACATACACCAGAAAATGAACTTCAAATTTATACATGGATGGATGCAACATTAGGAGAATTAACAAAATTAATTAAAGAAGTTAATCCAGATGCACGTCGTCGTGGTACACAATTTTCATTTTCAATTGTTTCAGCTGATGATTCACATAATCGTTATTATCTTACGGATATTGGAAAAACTGAAAATAGTCCACGAAGTACAGATGATAAAATACAATTAAGAAGTACACGTTTTCGAATAGGTGATTATCTTGATGTTGCTATTATTCAAAAGAGACAAGAACAAGCAACATCAAATCCACGACGTGATCGACCTATTCAACAATCATCGGATGATAATAATAATAAACGACGTAGTGGTCCTATTAATGAAAGAAATGGTGGTGGACCTGTTCGATCGGCTCCACGAAATGATCATCGTGATCGTCCTTATTAAATCATATAAACATAATTCATTATTATACTCCGCCTGCTTCTTTTCTTTTTCCTATCTTGTACATGGTGGTTTTTGTTCGTACACATTTGATGTTTTTCGTTTTTTTTTGTTGAATACTCAAAAAGAAAAAACCAAAAGAAAAGAATGAAATGAAAAAAAAATATCTTCTTTATGTTATAAAATTCCAATAAAAGATATTGAATACGTATCTATTCTAGAATAATCAAATTGGATTTAATTATATGTAGAATATATTAATGATTAATTGCTATCCTCCAAATTTTGGGATTGAATAAAAAATAAAAACGAACATATCTCATTGAATGATTATAATGATGGTTCGTTTACCGTGAGAATGAAATCCAATATTGTAAGTGTAAAGACTTAAAATCTAAGCTATTGTTCCCAGAAAAAAATCTAAATTTTTGAAAATGAATAAATTCATATGTTTTGAAAAAAAAAGATTGACAATAAGTAAACTGTGGTCGTAAACAAAAAAATTCATTTCACTTTTATGAATCTATTTCAAATCGTTTACTCAATATTTCCATTGTTACATTAGTGAATATTAGATTTTTTTTAAATTCAAACTATTATGAATGGTTCATCATTGAAAAATTTCATCAGTATACGATATTGCTTTTGTAAAAAAGATAAATATTTTAGAAGTTGTTTTAATATTATAGTTGCAATGTTGTCTTTTTTTTTTCTTTCGATGCAAAGAGTAAATGAGAATATGCTGTAATTGTATTTTATCTTTTCACCTTTGTCCTGATTATTTTTCTTTTACTCTGTTCTATCCTTCCATAAATGTGATGCGCATACTTCAGATCTAATATTTCGCATTCTCTTATAGACAACAAGCCATAATAATTTAAGTATGATATCGTTTCGAACATTTCTCTTAATTATTACTGTGATTTTCGCTGCTATCATTGCTCGATATTATGTACCTGTTCATGTACCTGGTCCAATGGTACATCCATTTAAATATAGAATTATTTGTGGTTCTTTCGCACTTGTACTTGATGTTGTAAGTTATATAAAAGAATAATATTTTTCGAAAAATAAAATCGTGTTTTTTTAAAAGAGTCGTTTTCTCGATTCTATTACTGGAATTCCTTATTATACAATACTTAATACGATCGTTGATTCTTTTGATCCTATTAAAATACGTCCATTCGATCATGGTGAAGTATCGGTAAATAATGAAAAGAAATTACTTTTTTTTGGGTTGTGTTATATTCTTGTTTTTTGAATATATAGTATCATGATCAATTGATTGAAAATGTTCTTGTTCGAATGTATACACCAAAAAATGTATCTAGTACATCATTATTACCAGTTATTATTTTCTTTCATGGTGGTGGATTCTTTTTTGGAAGTATTTGTAAGTTATTTAATTAGTTCGAAGAATATAAATAAATTTATTGATTTACATAGATTCACATGATACTATGAATTATCATATATCAATGTATACAGGTGCAAAAGTCATAGCTGTAAAGTAAGTCGAGATTATTTACAAGAATAATATTAATTGAGTATATTTTTAGTTATCGATTAACACCAAAAGTTCATTATCCAACACCAGTTGATGATGGTGTTAAAGTAACACAATATGTGATTGATAATTATCAAGAATTTGATATTGATCCTACACATGTTTTTCTATGTGGTGATTCTGCTGGTATCTATCATATGAATCGGTGTTAATATGAATATAGATTTTAATGAATTTTAGGTGGTGGTATGGCTGTTGTTGTCGAAAGACATTTACGTCGTGAACAAAAACCAATTATTCGTGGTGTTCTTCTTCTTTATCCTTTACTTCAACTTATTAATTTTCGTTTATTATCATATCGTACTTATTTACCATATCGTATTTTATCATTACTTCGTGAAGATATTCTTGTACAAGTTGCAAATTTTTATATAAATACAACATTTTCTGATGTTGAACTTTTTAATAATCGACATTTATCATTAGATGATTATAAAAAATTTTATTCAAAAATTAATTTAAAAATTTTAAATGAAGAATATAATGATGATATTGATACACATCAATTATTATCTAAACCATCTCATCGTGATACTTGGAAATTATTTGATGAGAATGTTTCACCTTTATTAGCTGATGATGAAATTTTACGTAATAGTCCAGCAACATTTATTGTTGCTTGTACATATGATATACTTTTATCTGATGCTCAATTATATTTTAATCGTTTACAACAATTAAATGTTTCGAATGTTATTTATAGAGAATATCCTATATTTCATGGTGTTATGACATTTGTTGATTTTCCGGTTGCTTTCAATGAAGCTTTTGATATTATTAATGACAGTGCTCAATTTGTAGTTAATAAAACTACTTTAGTAAAGTAAAATGGGTTGATATAGAATGAGTAAAAATAAAATAAAATGAATGAAAAATATCGTTTTATTGTCAGATGAATCTTTTATTAATTAATGAAAAACGAAAAAAAAAGAAAGAAAGAAAGAGATTCATATATAAATGTGAACTATATTTGTGTTTATTTTTGTTTGTTTGTTATTTTCATGAACTGTCCATTCACAAAAAAAAAAACGATTCGAATTGTAAAAGATTTATATTTATTAAATTAAACTTATTTCAGCATATAATAACAAATATCTTACATTTATAGTAAAAGTCATATAATTCTAGAAATAGAAACATGTGAATTTTTTTTTCTGAACATTTCTAAGATATATTTAATGAAAAATTATTGAAAGATGCATCCCATTTATCATATACTTTTGGATTTATGATTTTTCATGAATATTTTTATGAAGACAATATTTTGTTTTCGTTCTGACGCTTTCAATGTGGATGCCCTTATCTTTATGCTCGAAAAAATAAAACACTTCATGCTTTTACTATTAACAAAAAAAAGGAAATAGAGTCAGTCAAGGTAGTCATGCTCACCTGTCGAGTAAAACAAAAGTGTGATCGATGTATTACTGATTTTTATTACTTGAGTATTGTGTATTCTAGATAAAACATGGCTCGTACTGCTCAAAAGTTAGCAATCGTAGGTGCTATTGTAGCCAGTATTATCGGATATCTTTACCAAGCACCTCATAGTGAAGGTATTGCACAAATGAATCGTGTACGAATATTAGGCGCTTCAATGAAATTAGCTCAGTTACTTGTATGTTGCATTGTATTGATTTATTTTATATTAAAATATTTTTCAATTTTAAAGGGTAAAGCATTCGAACTAATAGGTTTATCTAGTGAAGTTGTAGTTATTCGAAAAGCTGCTAACTTAGTACGACAATTGAAAGATAAACAAGAAGATGCCGATCTTCAAGTAAAAATAATTTATTTTCTTTCAATTATATTTCTTAGTTTGAGTTTTNTGAAAAGCTCTACAAAAACTGTATAAAGAAATCTCTATTAACTGGTTCTGATGGTTTTCCGATGCTTAATACGAACAACCTACATGGTGGAGCTATGTCCCACCGTATTGAGCATTGGAAAAATGTTTGAAAGGCCTTTTTTGTTTTGCAATAGGGATTTGTTCATACAGATTGTGTAGAGCTTTTAACAGCGCATCTTTGACAAAAAAATCAAGATGTTATCATTTTCTCAAGTCGAGATATATGCAAAACAAAGATGTCTTGCAAACATTTTTATTATGCTGAAAAATAGCTCTATTATTTAGGTAGTTCGTTATGAGTATGGAAAAACCAACAGAGCAAGTCAAGAGGGATTTGTTTACACGAACTTTGTAGAGCTTTTCACGGCGCATCTTTTAAAAAAATAATCAAGATTTTATCATTTTCTCAAGTTGAGATAAATGCAAATTACAAAATGTTGCAAAACTTTTGGAACACCCGGTATATGATGTGTGTAATAACAAACATGATAAAAGTTGACATCTGTACTCAAAAGTTCACTTTGAATTTATTCTCTTGAAAATGTCAAGTATTTCAAAAGTATGCTATTTCAAAAGGTACAAAGATGAAATCATCCAACAGAGAAAACTATCTCAAGAGATGATTCATGATGGCTAATCAAATTCGTCAAGAAGATTAGTATATTAAGTTATTGATAAGCATAAAATCGAAAAAATGGTAAACATTCATTCTAAATGATAATTGTTTTGTATCATCATATAAAATCAATCTAAAGGCATTCGAAGCAAAATAAAATTCTAATCAGATACAAACACAGCATTGTTCACGTACGATATTGATTTCAAGTAATGAGAATATTTCGATCAAATTTTAATTATCTACATTAAATTCAACATTGATTTATTTTAAGATCAAAAAAACCAACAAATAAACGATAATATCGAATAGAGTTTTACGCTTGTCAAAAACTATTCAAATCAAATATTTCATGTCAATTAGCTAAAGTTTACAACCTAAATTGTAACATATCAAAAATGATAATAGATTTACATAGTGTTACATTATTGAAGTCATTTTCAATATAATACTGATTTCTATATTTCCAAGATTTCAAAACAAGAAGATTGAAAGTGCTTTTTAAAATTGAAAAAAAAAACTCTTATACATACAATTGAATATTTTAAATGAATAATGTTGAAACATCGGCTGTTTCCAATAACGATAGATTTCTCAATTAGATCGTTTTTCTAATTTTTCTTCTTTTTTATACTACTATCAATTATATCATTGGTCTTATATTTGAACTAAGTATAGAATATTCATGATTTTTTATTAATAAATTGATGAAGAAACACATTGTGACAAATGCAGTTAATATTTTCAACATGTGTCATAGTATTTTGCCAATTTAAACTCAATATGATTACTTAGAGATTTATCGAAGAATGAAGAACTAATTTTATCAATTTTCCTTTCATCAAAAACCAGAGAACGAATGGCAATATCAATAGATGTCCGTTTCGTTCAATGACTTAAAATTTTCTTTTTGTACTTTTTCAATGATTCGTTTGTTTTTTCTTGATAAAAAAGATGATCTTGCTAATTATAAAAATTATCTTTTCTCAATTGAATTTCAATATAAATAAATCAAGGCTGAACTCAACTCGTTGAATGATTCATCGGCACGTACTTTTTGTACGTCCTATGACACATGGTACACTAAAAATGTTATTAGCTATTTAAATTTTATGCACCATCATTACGCAGATCAATATTATCGTTGTCTAGATCGAAGTAAACAAGTCATTCAGTGTGTCTAATTTTTATTGCCAGAATGATCGATCAATCAGATATCGTCGAATTACCAGCTATACCACCTGACGCGCCTGAGTGGGTACGTGCTTTACCATCGAGTGGTCGTTTTGTGGATCGTACTAAATTGTATGATATAACGGGTCATATTTTATTTGATTCACTACTTAATTCCAATGGTATTCGACATTTCTTCTTTTTTATGGCTAATGAACAACATGCACAACGAGCACAACAAGCATTTAACGGGGATTTAACTAGTTCACTTCCATCTATTCATGATGATTCGACAAGTAATGATAAATTAGAAGTTCAAGTTGCATTTCATCTTGGTGAAGGTATTTGTGGACATAAAGGCATTGTGTAAGCTTTTTAAAAATTTATATAATTTAGTAATTTTTTTTTTAAATTTTTGAATAGACATGGAGGACTTACAGCTACAATGCTTGATGAAGTTAGTGGTGCTGCTGCGTAAGTTTATTTGTATTGATTGAAAGAAGAAATTCATTTCATTTTTTTGAATAGATTTTCCTGTGTTGGTCCTTGTTTTACGGCTAATCTTAATATAGATTATCTCAAACCATTAATGACACCAGCATGGGTTTTAGTTCGTGCTCATGTTGAACGTTATGAAGGACGAAAAGTATTTATACATGGCACTGTTGAAAATGGAGAAGGTATTATTTATGCTAAAGCAGTTAGTTTATTTATTAAACCTAAACTAAGTGTAAAAGAACATGTTCAACAACATCAAGAAAAACAATGAATATTAATTATTCTTTGGTGTGTATGTATTGTATATTCAAAAAGGTTTTTACTTGAAATTTCTTTTTTGTTGTTTTAAGAGGATAATATCGTTTTCAATAAACGAAAATCGATTTATGACAGATGCTTTATTGAACAATTTATTTTTTGGTATATATTCAACAATGATAATCTCTGTATGGATTCTATCTTTTTTGTTGTTGTTATATTTTTCTGTTAATATTTCATCTTACAACTTTATGTTAGAACAAATAAAAATAAAAATAAAATAAATGATGAGACAATTCAAATATATTATTATTTTATTTCAGTTGTATCTCCAGATGAATAAAGAAAAATAAAACTGTGCAATATATATGTTTACATCTTAATCGAACAATAAAAAATGTCTAAATTATTATTTTTCAATCGTTAAAAAGAAATATATATTTATCAATGAAGACAACTAATATTTGTTATTTCTACACAATGTTACATTTTCTTGCTAAAATTCTTTTTTTAACATTATTAATATTTATTTATTGTGAATTTATTATTTATTATTTTGTTTTATTGGGCTGTTCATGGTCACAATTATCTAAACTTGATCAAGATTTTACAGTTTTACCACCAAAAGATCCAAGTAAAAAACCATTACATGTTATGCTGATTGCTGATACACATTTGCTTAGTTCATATGATAAAGGTCATTGGTTTAATAAATTACGTCGTGAATGGCAAATGCGTCGTTCATTTCAGTCGGCAATATTTTTATTTGAACCACATATTATTTTTTTTCTTGGTGATTTAACTAATACAGGTCAATGGTATTCAGATCAAGAATGGAATAAAACTATTCAACGATTTCATTCTTTATTTTCAGTATCACCTAATGTACGTTTATATGTTCTTGCTGGTAATCATGATATCGGTTTTCATTATGATGTAACTGATAACAATTTAAAACGTTTTGAACAATCATTTCAAACACCACATGTTCGTTTGTTAACTATTGATGATGATGATATACATTTTGTATTAATTAATTCCATGGCTTTTGAAGGTGATCAATGTCGTTTATGTGAACGTGCTGACAATGAATTAAATGAAATTATTAATGAACTTAAGCAAACAGATATACGAACTAGACCGGTATTATTATCACATTTTCCTTTGTATCGTTCATCAGATGCTAATTGCTCTGGACAATCATCGACAACATTAAAAGTAAATTTTTTATTTTGCTTTTTGTTTTGATTGATCATTAATTTAAAGAGCAGTTTTCTTATGAATTAGATTCATTCTAATATATAGATTTTCGTGTTAAACTGCTCGCAAGATGTTTGAGTAAGGATAAGTAATTTCAAATCTAAATGACGGAATCGATTCTATGATGATTTTAATTTCAACTAGCAAAAAACAATATTAGTTATTTTCTACTTTCAGACAAATGCTTAAACGAATAACAAAATCAACACGAAATAATAATTGTTTTTCAACTAGGGAACTGCAAAATCACTTTTTTTAGTCCCGATCCTGGTTCCGGTCCCGGTCAAATATTTTTTTTAGTCCAGGTCCCGGTCCCGGTCTTTGACATTAGCTTCATTCCTAAAATCGAACAATTTTTTTTACGATCTATGTACTTTTATAAATACATAAAATTGACATGAATGATTTTGACTCGTTAACAGTACGAGAATTCTTTTATATTCAGTGTTAAAGTGAAAGAATTTCATTGAAAACTCGAATAAATAAAAAATAACTATTGAATTTTGTTAAAAATTCTCATGTACTTCGTAGTAGTCATTTACTCATTTCTCTCTTCTTGTATATCTACTGTTCTATCTAATGGATTTATTATCGAATTGATTATTTATACTGAATCGCCATTACTATTGTCAAAAAAATAAGATAAATGGCGACACATTGCATAAAAGACTGACCGGGACCAGTGAAAAATTTTTAGTCCCGATCCCGGTCCCGCAAAAAAGTCAAATTTTGGTCCCGGTCCCGGCGGGACCGGGACCGGGACCACTTTGCAGTTCCCTATTTTCAACAAATTTGAAATTTATTATTGAACAGTAAAATAGTATGCATCCATTCTTCATGATTTCCAATTCTTATTTATGACTGTCATTTAAGTGGTCATAAAAACATATACACATCAGAAATATGCGAATCAGACTCGTGCCACAGCTCACATTTATGTGTATTGTACGCCTCATTCGAGATTTGCTCTCCGAACGCATTTCGCCATAGCTAATTCGCTTCTTTAATGTTCTCCTAGAACATCCTAAACCATGTGATAGTGTAACTCACGCTTCTCACAAGTTTGTTCAACGTTGTATCAGCATGCATTAGAGCGCGAGGTTGTCTTGCGAATCTCTGATACAAATGATCAGTATTAAATTGCAAAATGGTCAGTTTATTATATCTATATTAGGCATGCACAGAGTCCGAGCTTCCCGGGTTCGGTTTTCCCGGTGTTCGGTCATTCCTGGTATCTAAAACATTAGATTTAGTGATTCATGTACTTTGGTCTGCATTAGGCATCCATAGAAGCCAGGTACGACC